ATCACTGTCACGAAGCTTTTCTACTTTTAAACTCATTGACTCCATTTTTCTTTAAATTATGCACAATTCACTTCCTTTTAATCGAGTTATTTACACTGATACTTTGTAATAACCTGGGCCCATAACCTGTTGAGGGGGTTATTTGAAATAAAAGAGTGTAGAATGAGACACACGTAAATAACTATATTTAAGAAAGAAGTGAAGGAAACACTGTGAAGAAGCGCGCAGTATAAGAGTACTGAAGAACCTGAGAGGCCTGGGCGTTTTTATACCTGTGTACTCTACTCAAGTATATGGAAACCCCGCACTTCAGGATGTAGAGGCTTTCCAAGACTCTAGAAATTACTTCTTGCTTCAACATATACATATCCCTCATGTTCTTTGATACCACTTATTATTAAATTAGCTTTGCGAATCGTCCGTTGAATTCTGTGTGGATACGGAATTATTTAAACGAAAATATCTTTTGCGTGAGTTTGACGGGATTTCTTATTGTTAATATTTACTATAATTGGCTCAATTAATAATTAGAACGGCTGTCACGGTTAAACTACTTACTATTTCGGCTCCGAAAAATTAGTAAATGTTCTTCAGACGTTCTAAAGTAAAGGTTAACGATACGAACTTTGAAAATTGGCTCTTTCAGGGCCATACATATATACGCAAGCATACATCTACTCGTTAGACTTACCCCGGGGCAGGTGATCTATGGTAAGATTTTGGGAGAAATCGCAGCTCTCCTTACTCTGACTGCGGTAGCTTGTACACACACACACACACACACACACACACGCGCGCGCGCGCGCACGCACACACACACACACACACACACACACATNGTTCTTCAGACGTTCTAAAGTAAAGGTTAACGATACGAACTTTGAAAATTGGCTCTTTCAGGGCCATACATATTAACCCAGGAAAGTTCGTCCGCAGATATTATTGATATGTGATCAGTGTTTAGTGATAATGTACTAAAAGTGACCGTTGGAATAGCCTGCCTGGAAACATCTTTCTGTTCGTCGCCGTCGGATACAGATCAGCTGAGCAGTTCATCATACATTGTTCGAGATCAATGCACTATCCTCCAGCATACATTTCCGATCATGTAGTGGATTTACAACTAAATGGATGAGTTTCTTCTTGATAATATTCTTCATATTTCTCTATCAAACAAATCTCTTACGTCCTTTAACACGATTATTATTTATTAAATTCGCTTTGCGAATCGCTCGTTGAATTGTGTTCGGTCGTGGAATTATTTTAATTACAATTTAATAAATTAACATTTACGAACTTTGTTAATCTTCACCTTGCATTCAAATTTCATATGGTACACATGAGGTGTCATGCATATCAGAAAATTAAAACGGCTGTCATACTTATTATTTCGGGTCCGAAAAATAATAAATATTCTTCAGCCATTCTGAAATAAGAGAGAGAGGATGAACAGCGTTTTTCTTAAAATTATCACTGCCACGTGGTAAAAAAGAATATCGAAAGTTCATGCTCCGTGACTTGTTTATTGATTTGAATACGGCACAGAGTCCCCCTTCAGCTGTCAAAATCAGTGGTAGAAGCACATGACACTCGATCGTTGTGTTTCGCGCCATTGTGTTTTATTGGTCACTGTTTTTCGTTAATAACTCGGAAACAAAGCCGCGGATCGCATTTTCGCCAAGGAAAAAGTTGCTTCAAATGACCTCAGGAACCCCTCATTTCTCGGAAATACGGTAATTTCGGGACGCCCTGCATATATAGTATCCCAAAAATGTCTCGCAATACGGAAATGTGGGGTAGCTGAGGTCATTCTAAGTAACTTTTTCCTTTGCGAAAATGCAATCTGCGGCTTTGTTTACGTGTTATTAACGAAAAACACTGACCAATGAGAGGTGACGGCGCGAATTTCGAGAGCCCGCAGCACGAAGCTTTGACAGAAGGTCGAGACGGACTCGAGCCGCGTTCGAAGTATTGAACAAATCACGAAGCGTGAACTTTCCGGACTTTTTTTACTACGTAAAAGTGATATTTTAAAGAAAAACGCTGTTCACCTTTACTTTAGAACGTCTGAAGAATATTTACTAATTTTTCGGACTCGAAATAATATGTAGTTTAACCGTGACAACCGTTTTAATTTTCTGTATACAATGAGGATTAACAAAGTTCGTAAATGATATTTTAATTTAAATAATTCCGTGTACGAACAGAATTCAACGAATGATTCGCAAAGCTGATTTAATAATAAATAATCGCGTTAAGGGACATAACGGATTTGTTTATTAGAGAAATATAAAAGATATTATCAATAAGAAACTCACCCATTTAGTTGTAAATCCACTTCATGCACGGAAATGTGTGTAGGAGAATAGTGCATTGACCTCGTACAATGTATGATGAACTGCTCAGCTGATCTGACGAACAAAAGGATGTCTTCGGGCAGACTATTCCATCGTTCATTTTCACTGCATTATCACTAAGCACTGATCACTTATCAATAATATTTACGGACGAACTTTCCCTGTTAACAACACATACCGCGTTGACACGTTTCGTAATGTTCTCCTGAACCCTTTGCAGCATCCTTGGAGTAAACACGTTGTTCACATCGTATAAGATTAATTAAGGAAATTCTCTTGTGACGTCCTTTCCATATTAATGCTCGGGACAAATTGCAGAAGACTGGCATGATGGCCGACAACGTTCGTGCTTGATAGGAAACAGTTGAAACTCAATCGTAGGAAAATGAAACATTGTCGGCCACAGTGCCAGTCTTTTGCAGTTCGTACGCAGTACGTGTTATTAAGGGTCGATTCTCATCTATGTGCCAGGCTCGGTCGTGCTCCAAGCCTGATCAAGGCCGAATCATTGCTACATTTGATTTACATTAGAGTGTTCACAGTACGCGTGCCGTGCTCGGAACGTGCCAGGCCGTCCGGCACTGTCCAAATGTGTCCATACTTGCAGGCAGGCCCGGATCAGGCTTGCTTCGCCCGTAATCAAAACAAAGCGAGATGGAACTACGGAATTGGTACGATGTGGACAGAGTGCGCAATCTTTTGTTTTAACATTGCAGGCAATAAACCCGGGAAAGCATTTCGACTCGACAAAGCACGCAAAAAAAGGAATCTACGAAGGCTAGATGGAGGCACGACTTCTGGTGACCATTTGTGGGTCATAATCCGATAAAACTTTTTCCTTTTTTTATTTAACGTGGAGGAAATCTGTTCGCCAGACACCTCCGGCCCACTCGGGGGGACGGTCGGGGGGGGGGGGGTAGTGTGGGGTTCGACTCACTAATACATCCACGGCGACCTTAGGACGCTGGATCACATCTGGCGATTCCAGGAGGGAGCCACGAGAATTTTAAAAGAACACGACCGCAGCTCCCCCTCGCCTGGCCGGTCATCTGGCTGGTGATAATGTCCGGCCTCGTCCCAGGAGGGTGGGGGGAGTATTATTCTTCCCCCCTATAATCAATGTTTCAGCGGTGCAGAGGGTCGCACTCCGCATCCTCTGCCGGCGGGCGGCGGGAATGTCGATCAAACATAGGTCTCCCCGCCGCCCGCTACTCTCAGCTACTCGGCAGCTCTCGGCGCGTATGCATACACCGCCCCCAGGTACGACGGGCGGGATAGGTACGCTCCCGATCCCATTCGGCGGCCGCCCTCTGCGACATGACCTGCTCGCAGAAGGAGACCACCGCCTTCCAGCATCGCCCCAACTACGCTGGAGAGCGAGATGTCATGCATCCCAATATTCGGTACTAGGACTCGGCGCAGCACTGCAAAGACAGGGCATTCCTCTAGCGTGTGCTCCGCCGAGTCCTCTTCCGCGCCACAATGGTGGCACACCGTCGTCGCCTCCCGACCGATGCGACACAGGTAGACACCGAAGCAGCCATGCCCGGTCATCACCTGGGTCGCACGGTAGGTGAGCTTGCCGAACGGTCTCTCCCGCCACGTGTTGAAGTGCGGCAGGAGAGCCCCGGCGGCGCGCTCGCCGGCGTGTGAACATAGCTCCACACGCCACCGCGCCCACACTAGTCGCCGGGCCCGAAGCTCGAAGCTCTCGACGCCTCCCGCTCCGGCGCCCTCCCGTGCCTGACGGATGATGCATATGCGCCTATACACATAGGCGCGCACTGCCGTCTGCAGCTTAAAGGGAAGTTCTCCTGTCAGAGCAAGCTCCACCACGGTAGACGTGATGAACTGAAAATTTTATTGCAACACCTTCAATGGTTCAAAAGTGATCAGAAGAGTCACTGAATTTCTCGATCCGGGGAATATGTATTTCCAAAACCATTATTAGTGTTACAGGCGAATGTTGATGATTTCGGAGAGACCTCCGAAGTCACAACACCGAACGCGTTTGCCGTCGCCCGTGAGCTAGCCATGCGCGACGTAAGTGTGCGTGCGTACGTGATCTCCGCGTCATATTTAAACATCGCGGTGTTGCTATGACAACCGACGGATGTCAGATGCTGGTCGTGTGAAGCGGCCAAATTCGAAAAGAGACTGGTAACGTTCGACTAAGCGCATCGATAAAATGATACGTTCGCTGGGCGCGAAGCATATCACGACAGCTATTCAGAAAAATACGTTTACGCCTACAATTACGATTACGATTACGAACACGGTTACAAATACGATCCACTATTACAGATTACGATACCGAATTATAAGATAACGAACACGGCTTACAATCACGGTGTACGACTTCTGCGTGCAATTATGGAAATTATTGTATACTGTTGTATCATCTTTTTGTATTGTATTTTGTACAATTAATCGCACTGTTAATCGTCGCTGTTTCCGCTATTCGTAATTCCGTTTTAATCACTATCAATTTCAACTTGTATTTCAATTGCCAGGAATTCATTGTCGGTATAGTTACCTTAGCTAGGTATAATACATAGCAAAGAGCATCAGGATTTTGCTTCAAGCGACGACACTGATGCAGGTTTTGTGACAGATCTAGGTAATTAATGTTTTCTATTTTATCGACAATTTTTAAATATCGATTTTAAATATCGATCTTTTCAGACATTTATTCGTATCATTCTACAGTGGATTGATTGTTCAATGCAGTGCGCGAATGTCAGACTTTGATCAACAAAAATCATCCATGTCTTGGTCGTCATCAATTTTTATCTTATTTTCTATAACTTATATTACCATCTGCCTGCATAATTCTCATGAAGTCTGAAATTCACGCACTTCGAATAATAACAACAGATATCGAATGGGGTGCCGATTTAAGAAAGTTATGTATCAATCTCGAAATTCATGATTTCGTCTTGCTATGACGGCAAGTGTGACCTCTACCGTTATCTCATCGCTAGGGTGTCTAGCCCCATAAGCTTCTTTCCGCTGAGTTGATTGGCCCTTTTTAGAACTGTTTTCGGAAAATTTTAGAACTGTTTCTAGAACATTATAACATTATAGAACGGTTTTCAGAACTTTTTGGAAGTGTTTTCAGAGCATTGTAGAACTGTTTTCAGAAATTTTTAAACCTGTTTTCATATCTTTTTAGAACTTTTTAGAACTGTTTCTAGAATTTGATAGAACTGTTTTCAGAACTTTTTAGAACCGTTTTCAGAACATTTTCGTACAGTTTTCAGAAAATTTTAGCACTGGTATCAGAACTTTTTAGAATTGTATTCAGAACTTTTTTTAGAATCGTCTTCTTCAGCACATTTGAACTATTTTCGGAACATTTGAGAACTGTTTCCAGGACCATCTAGCACTATCTTTCTAAATTTTTTGTGAACTGTCCTTAGAACGATAACTGTTCTGAGTACAACAAATGTTTTTTAATAACCTTCCAAAAACAGTTCTAAAAAGTTCTAAAAACAGTTCCAAAAAGATCTGAAAACAGTTCTAAAAAGTTCTGAAAACACTGCTAAAAAGTTCTAAAAATAATTCTGAACAGTTCAAAAAATATTCTAAAAAGTTCTGAAAACAGTTATAGAAAGTTCTGAAAACAGTGCCAAAACATTCTGAAAACAGTGCTAAAAAGTTCCAAAAAAAATCATAATCATAATTGTAGGCATAAACTTAATCGTGTGGATGCTCATCGCGATATGCTTCGAGACCTCTGAGCATGTCATCTTATCGATGCGCTAGCCGAACGTTACCAGGCACATTTTGAATTTCGCAGCTCCGCTCCACCAGCATCTATTGCCGGCCGGTTGTCCTAGCAACGTCGCCACGTTTACATCGCAGCGCTCACGTACGCACACACATTTACGTCGCGTGTGTGTTGTCTCACGGGAGTCGGCGAGCACCGATCGGCGTGTGACTTCGAAGGAACCTCCGAAATCGTTAACTTTCGGCTATAACAATAATAATAGTTCAAGCAATACCAGCATGATACTGATACCTCAAAATGAAACAGAATTTTAAATTCAGATTGAAATTGAGGTTGAATTTGAAATTGAAATTGATAGAGAGTGAAACGGTATTACGAATACCAGTGACAGCGACGGTGAACAGTGACGCACACAAAATATAATACAAAAAGACAGTAGTACAACCATATACAATAATTGTCGTAATAGTACGCCGAATCGCACGTCGTTGTTTTAAGTTGTTCTACGTTCTATTATGTCGTTTTACGAAGTTTCACGTTGTTATTTTACGTTGTTTTACATTGTTTCTCGTCATTGTTTTAAGTTGTCCAACCATGTTTTACGTTGTTTCACATTGTTTCACGTTGTAGTTTAAAATAGTTTTACGTTGTCTTAAGTTGTTTTACACTGTTTTTACGTTGTTTTACGTTTTTGTTTGAAATAGGTTTACGTTGCTTTACGTTATTTTACAATGTTTCACGTCGTTGTTTAAAACAGTTTTGCGTTGTTTTAAATTGTTCTACGCCTGGATTTGAAACTAAATCGTCTGTATCGCATGGATATGAAGCGAAATTGTGTATTTTGCATGTATTTGAAGGTGAATCGTTTATGGATTCGCCTGAATTTGAAGCTAAATCGTTTGTTACTCATGAATTTAAAGCTACATCTTGTTTGGATGCGTCGTATTTGCACCCGATATCGTCACTCCGCGATATAAACTATCTGTCAGGTCGTAAAGCCGATTACGCTGCGCGACGGAGTGGATCGATATCGTTGTCCGTTTGATTAAAAATGGGACAACTGTTTGGTTGATTTAGAATGTGCCACTCAACAAGTGTGAATATGATTGTGTCTGAATAAGTGTGAACTGAGTAACTGACAACTGATCAAGAGAAGAATCGGTTTCGAGTTTTTATACTGTTTTGTGGACAGAAGATTAGAAATTGGTTGGCCAGTGACGCGATGGAAGGGGATGTAAGGTGACGTAGCACGCAGTGCCGCAGGTAACAAGAAACCCTGGACGGGTGACCGAAGAAAATGCTGCCGATGAAGGTGTGCAGTATTCAACAGTGCAGAAATGGCTTTATTGCCGGAAAGTATATGGCTCGAAAAATCATAAACTTAGAAATTGCAAGGAAGGAGGCTATGGTTCTACGAAATTGAAAAAATAAATTGAGCCGAAGATTCCCCGTCAATAAATGTTTTTTAGGGATAGAAGGAAAAGGTAGTTCGTCCCGGAAAAAGTTAGGCGGATGCAGCCCGAAAATTCTGTTATATAAGAGCTAGATAGATATGACAGCATACAGTGATACAGTACAGTAAAAGGCTTGGATATGACGGGTTTATACAAAGAAGAACGGTGTGAGAGTCTTTGACTACTGATTGTCTATGAATGTCATATGCTCGTTTCGGCGATGCTCCTCCGGTTGATGAAATAGGGGCACTAGTTTCTTCACGCTGCGATCGAACACGTTCGCGGCGGTCTTCACTGTAACGGCTCGAATAATGCCGTCGGCTCCGGGGTGAGTCTTGAGGACGCGTCCTAGAGGCCATTGCATCGAGGGCACGTTGTCTTCCCGGAGAAGGACAAGCGTACCTTCGACGATCGGATGCTGTCCTCTGGTCCATTTGTTTCGGCTCGTTAACTCGTTCAGGTATTCCCGGTGCCAGCGCTTCCAGAACTGTTGTTTAAGCTGCTGGATACGCTGCCATACGGATAGTCGATTTGGATTGGTATCTCCCAAGTCGCGTTCGCCTAGGCTCGTGAGAGCATCACCAATCAGGAAATGTCCGGGAGTCAACGCTAGGAGGTCGGTAGGATCGGAAGATATAGAAGTGAGAGGTCGCGAATTAAGGATGGCTTCGATGTTTACGATTAGGGTGTTTAGGTTCTCGAATGTGAACAGTTCATTACCTACGACGCGTTTAAAGTGGTGTTTAAACGATTTCACCGCGGCTTCCCACAGACCCCCGAAATGTGGTGCTTGTGGTGGTATAAAGTGCCAATTTTTTGATGGCTCGTTTGGCTAAAAATGTTACGACCCGTTCCCGATGATCGTCAGAACGCAATAAACCTCGGAGTTTGCGTAATTCATTGGCCGCCCCCTTGAAATTGGACCCGTTGTCGGAATATAAATTTACGCAGAGTCCGCGTCACCCGATGAATCGTTGTAACGCTGCGATGAATGCTTCGCTGGTCAAATCGCTCACCAGTTCCAGATGAACGGCCTTTATAGCGAAACACACGAAGACTGCCACGTAGACTTTGACGCGTCCGCGGTTTCGGTATTGCCGCTCTTTCACGAAGAACGGTTCGTAGTAGTCAACGCCTACGTTGGTGAATGGACATGCCTCTATGACCCTCTCTCTTGGTAGACTGCCCATGATGTATTCCACGGGTGGAGGGTTTGCTCTGCGACAGCGCACGCACCCGTGGATTGTCTTCCAAACTTGTTCCTGCCGTCTATTGGCCAATATGTACGCCTCAACGAGTACAGGGTGGTTTGCGTTCCAGCATGCAGTAGGTTCCTGTGTTCGGACATGATGATGCACGTTGTGGTATGGGATTTGGGGAGAATAATTGGATGTTTCTGAGAACTGCTTAGGGTCGAATTGTGCAGGCGACCTCCTACTCGTAGAATGCCATCCTGATCTAGAAATGGATTTAGTTTTGCTAATTTGCTGCTTAGTTGTGGGTTGATTTCACGCTGAAGTCTGTCTATTTCTGCCTTGAAATAGGTTCGTTGTAACAGTTTGATTATGACGGTCCTTGATTGTGAGAGTTCTGCAAACCGTCAAGCTCCCCCGAACGATCAGTCCCGACTTCCATCTTCGACATAGTTGCCATGCACATTGCATCCTTACTCTCTGGATCTTCAGCGGCGTTGGTTCCCAACGGGGCGAATGTGTTGACCCTTGCCGAAGCCAGTGCGGCCCGTGTTGCCAGATGGATGATTGCACGAACTCTTCAATTCCTTGACCTCGTGACAATAAATCGGCTGGATTGTCTGAAGATCTGACATGATGCCAGTTTGTGATGGTTATGGTTGATTGGATTTCTGCGACTCGATTCGCTACAAAGGTTTTTAAAGAGTGTGGGGAGGAATGTAGCCAGTGAAGGACTATAGTGGAATCTATCCAGAAGTGGATGTGTTCAACAGGTATGTGTAGTGCCTTTATGATGGTGTTCATGAGTTCGGCGAGTAATACTGCTCCGCATAATTCGAGTCGGGGGATTGACTGGGTTTTTAATGGTGCGACTCTGGATTTTGCTGCGAAAAGTTTTACGAGTGTGTCGCCATCAGTATTGCAAGATCGAATGTACATACAAGCGCCGTAGGCCTCCTCGCTTGCTTCACAGAATCCGTACATTGTTTAGCAAGGGAAGTTTGGTGTAATACTGCAGCCATTTCCCGTGAATAGTCATCGGCAAGGATTCGTCCCAGTCTATTTTCAAGGTCCAGAGCTCTTGTAGAAGGAGTTTCGCGACGATGATAACTAGTCCCAATAAGCCCAGTGGGTCATAGATCCTTGCTACTTCAGAACTTATCAAACGTTTGGTGACACGAGTTGTGTGAACGATCGGTTTAACGGTGTATGTGATGTAGTCGTATGTTGAATTCCAGACTATTCCCAGAGTCTTGATGATGGTAGAGTCGCCCAGATGAATTTGTTTGTTGATATGTTCTTCGGCTAGACCCTCTAATAGACATCTGTCGTTTGATGCCCATCGTCGCATGTGCAGTCCTGCCGAATTGAGAAGTGATGTAAGGTCATTTCGCAGTGACTCTTCGGTCTACGTAAAAATTCCGTTTGATAATGTTGGACGCGTGGTTGAAACGATGACCTTCATCCTCTGCCAGTTGTGTTAGGCATCGTATAGCCAAGTAAGGGGCCGCTGATAATCCAAATGTAACGGTGTTTAATTGATCAGTTTTGATTTCGCCGTCGTCATCGCGCCAGAGTATTTGTTGGTATTTCCTATCCTCTGGACGGATCAGGAATTGCCTGTACATCTTTTCGATGTCGCCGGTGATGACATACTGATGCATGCGGAATTTAAGTAGGATATACAGGAGATCATCTTGTAATTTGAGTCCGATGTGTAGGGCGTCGTTGAGGGACAGACCGGTGCTCGTAGCTGCGGATCCGTCGAAAACCACGCGGAGTTTCGTTGTCTGACTGGAGAGTTTGATTACACCGTGGTGTGGGAGGTAGTATCCCTCATTGTTGTCTGGTACTTGTGACATGTGGCCCTGGTCAAGATAGTCGTTGAGAACCGCCTTATATTGGACGGTTAATGCTGGATCTCGGCGTAATTTTCGTTCGAAGGACATCAGTCGTTTATGGGCTATGGATTTGGATTCCCCTAATTTCGTCTTGTATTGGTTGAATGGAAGGGCCACTATGTACCTTCCTTCTGCGTTCCGTGTGATAGTGTGTCTGAAGTTTTCCTCGCACGCCGTTTCCGTGTCCGAGAAGTGACGTGTTTGTGGACCGTCTTCTAATTCCCAAAACCGGGTGAGGTCGCATTGTAGAATAGTGTTGGGAGTAGTATTGGCGTGGCATGACGCCTTTTGATTTTGTTGGAGTGAGGGTGCGCTCCCCCCGTTTACCCAACCTAGCATTGTCTTTTGAAGGTATAGGTTTGGGTAATGTGGTTTTGAAAGATGGATTTGACCTACACTTAGAATGGACAATGCTGTGCCAGCACCCAACAGCATGTCGATTAGGGCTGGACGATGGAACATCGGATCTGCCAGTTTGAGTTTTTTTGGGGATTTCTAGAACTGTCCGATCGATCTGGTCGCTGGGAATTGATGTGGCGATGGTTGGGACGACTAAAAACGTTATTGTTCGATGGTAATTGTTTAATTTTGATTGAATGGTGGCCTTGACTGTATGTTTTGTCATAGTGTCGAGTGAGTTGAGTGCCCCGACGGGAATTGAACACCGTTTTTGAGATAATGTCAGCCTTTTCGACAGATCTTGTGTGATGAAGTTGGTGATTGAGCAAGTGTCGACTAAAGTCCGGCATGGAATTGATTGATTTGAATTGTTTTTCGTGTGTACTATTGCCGTTACGAGTAGCTCGTTCGTATAGGAATCCACAATGAAGGTATTGTGGATACCCTTTCCCTTTGGCCCCTTTTGAGAAGCTAGTTACGGCGATATCGATGATCGCTCGTGTTCGGAGGTTTCTTGCCTGGGTGTGACGGGTGTGGTTTTTTCGCAAGTGGGTGAACTCGACGAAGTGTTGAGATGCCGATTATCTGGGTCTCTTTGTTGGTGTAAAAGAGTGTGGTGCCGTTGGTTGCAAATACGGCAGTTGAACGAGGATTTACATGGTTGAGTGGGGTGACCAGATCGTAAGCAATTGTGGCACAGCGATTTGGTGGTTACGGTTTTGTATCGCGTGGTGGGAGAGGCCTGGATGAACGTTTCGCACTCTCGCACCGTGTGTGGGCTGTTGCAGATTGCACATTGTGGGGTTGTCGTTAAATATGTTTGTATCCGTGGAATTCTTGCAGTAGTGCCCTTGGTATGTATGGTAGGTGGAATATGACGGTTTACCGGATTCGCGTTAGGTTTGGCGACTGAATTCGATGAGCAGTTTGCTCGTTTTCTCAAGAAGTTGATTAGGCGTGTGTAGGATGGCATCTTTTTATCCGCGAGCGTGAGCTCTCATTGCAAAACTGTATCGGGATGTATTTTGGAAATGATGATTGAGATTAGAAATGAATTCCAGGTTTCAAACGGTTCCCCGAGATTTTTTAATGCGCGCAAGTGTTGGTTTAAGGTGTCGAGAAGGTCCCCGATCGCTTCAGGGCTGTCTTTGGGTAGGGTTGGAAACTCTCGAATGGCATCGCAGTGTCGTAAGATGGTTTTGCATGGGCAGTCGAATTTTTCCTTTAATATCTCTATTGCATCTAGGTAGTTGACATCTGTAGTTTGCAATGATTGGATGCACGCGGCGGCCTTCCCCGTGAGCGTAGATCGAAGATATTGTAACCTTTGAACATGGGTCAGGTCTTCGTTGCGGTCGATCATTGATGAAAATAGGTCGTAAAATGATGTCCAATTCTCTAGAGTTCCGTCGAAAGTCGGCAATCACATTTCTGGCAGTTTGATGGCCATCGGGGCCGAAACCGTCGTGAATGGTGATCCGGGGTAGTTGGTACGAGTGAGAATTTGTTGTTCATTGTCTCGAATCATTTGTTTCGCGCGGGCTGTTGCGGCGTAATAAGAACCCTGAATTTCGAATCGACGCGATTCTTCCGAAGGATCTAATATTTCTAGTTCTAATTGGATGTCGTCGAATCGTTCCCAAGCCTTACGAAGTCCATCCAGGTATTCGGTAACGAGGGATTCATTATTTAATAATTATTGGGGTCTTGCGAATTGTCGAGAACCTTTGTGAATTTATGTTGCCACGTTTACGCCGTAAAGTGCTGACTGATATCTCTTGTAAAGCCATTGTTTGGAGAGATGGGACGCGAAATAGGAATTGGTGATGCAATATAAGAGCCTACTTTTCCGATGCCAAAACGTCCGCGACCGTGTGTTGATGCGTTGTTCAGCTTGAATGTTGTTGGACTGGTTGTTGGTTGCGTCGTCGGTGTCCGTTGAAGGGTTCACGAACACACTATCCGCCTCGAAGGACCAATGTTTGGATGCGTCGTATTCGCACCCGATATCGTCACTCCGCGATATAAACTATCTCTCGGGTCGTAAAGCCGATTACGTTGCACGACGGAGTGGATCGATATCGTTGTCTGTTTAATTAAAAAAGGGACAACTGTTTGGTTGATTTAGAATGTGCCACTCAACAAGTGAGCCGTTTATTTTGAAAGTGGCATAAGTCACTTTTTTCTTTTTTTTTTTGAATGAAAAGATACCGTTCAATTGTAATTAGTATTACTATTAACTCGATTTTTTTGAAAAAATTTGAAGCTAAATCAAGTTCGTCGCATGAATTTGAAGCTAAATCATGTGTGACGCAAGCATTTGAAGCTAAACCATGTGCTTCGCATGAATTTGAAGCTAAATCATGTGTTTCGCATTAATTTAAACCAAAATCATTTATTTCGCAAGTGTTTGAGGCTAAATAATGTCTTTCGCATTAATTTAAACATACATCAAAATCGTTTCTTTCGCATGAATTTGAAGCTAAATCATGATTTTCGCATGTATTTGAAGCTAAATCATGTGTTCCGCATGAATTGAAAGCTAAATCAAATATCTCACACGAATTTGAAGCTAAATCATGTGTTTCGCTTGATTTCGAAGCGATATCGTGTGTTTCGCATGAATGTGAAGTTAAATCGTTTGTTTCGAACGCATTATAGCAAAACCATATATTTCGCATAGATTTGAAGCTAAATCATGTGTTTGGCATAAATTTTAAGCTAAATCGTTTGTTTCGTATGCATTTGAAGATAAATCTTGTGTTTCGAATGAATTTGAAGCTATATCGTTGGTTTCGCATGAATTTGAAGCCAAATCGTTTGTTTCGTATGCATTTGAAGCTAAATCATGTGATTCGGATGAATTCGTAGCTGAATCATGTGTTTCGAGTGAATTCGAAGCTAAATCGTGTGTTCAGCATGAATTCGAAGCTAAATCACGTGTTTCGCGTTAATTTGAAGCTAAATCTCGTGTCTCACATGAATATGAAGCTAATTCATGTGTTTCGAATGAACTCGAAGCTAAATCAGGTGATTCGAATGAATTCGAAGCTAAATCATGTGATTTGAATGAATTCGAAGCTAAATCTTGTGATTCGAATGAATTCGAAGCTAAATCATGTGTTTCGCA